CTCACAGCCCGGCTGCATCCGCCGCTCACACTCCTCCACCATGTCCAGCACCTTGCTGAGGTTGCTGATGGCCTTCTCCTCGTGGGACAGCACCTCAGCCATCTTCTGGATCTCGTGGCTGAGGTTGACCACCATGTCCCTCTCGTACTGCAGCTGCCGGTCGCTCTGGATGATCTCCTGCTCCGTGATGTCGATGAGCAGCTGCAGGTTGTGCTCCAGCTCGGGCAGGGCAAAGCCCTGGGGCTTGGAGTCCTTGCCCAGGGGCTGCTGGGGGCTGTCATCTGGGATGTTGTGCTTGTGGCTGATCTGGCTGTAGCTGTAATAAACCTTCTGCTCCCGGCCCGTCATGTCAATCACCTGCCAGCACACAAAACAAATTCTCTAACAAAAAACTCTCAGCTTCAAAAAAGGAGAAAAGCCCTGAGTCCAAACTGAAATCTGGAGATTTCCAAGGACCTTAATTACTCCAGGAGGCTGCTAATGTATACTGTATTTGAACAAGGGGATGGCCTCCACAATGGCCTTCTCCAGACACAAGAAGTCAGAACAAATAAGAGACAATCTGGAATCAGAACCAGAAGAATCTCCTCATCTCATCCCAGTTTCACTGAATGATTCTACAAGCAGTGATCTTGCCATTAGTTACTGCACTTAGAACTTCTACAATTTTGTAAAGATACTTTAATTTCAGATTAATAATTTTATTGAGTGCACAGCAGACAAATCCCTTACTGTCTCTTTGAGGTAGAAGATTGTTCAAACGATCCCAAAAAGGACAACTGTGCTTATAGAAGTGGGTGAATGTTTATTATGACAAATGTGAAACAATTAAACTTAAATTGCAATTAACCCTCTACACACACTCACATCCAGAGCTATTACATGGCTCAGGGATGAGCTCCATGAGGCTGCACAGGCAGCTCCTACGACTGGCTTTACTGAGGTTACCAGTGCCTAAAATGTGCTGGTGACACCAAAGAGCCCAAACTGTTCCTCAGGGGTCACCTCTTGGCTTATCAACCTCACCTTGACCTGGGACAGCTCCTTCTGAGGGGCTGCAAGCTGCTTGCTGATCCTGCCCTTGGCTTTCAGCTCTTCCACTGTTTTGTAGCTGTACTTGGGCTTTTTCTTGCCTCCATTCGGGTCCTTCCGCCACTGGCTGAGCTCCTTCTGAAATTCCTGGACAAAAACAGCAGAATTGAGGTGGCTGCTCTTTGTCACACCTCAAATCTGCCTCTTTTTTACAGGAGAATAACCATCAGGTCAATGACGAATTTGTACAGGAAATAAATGGGAAGTAGAAAAGCTCTTGCCAAACCAGCTTGGATGCTGTGGGGCAGTCACCCACCCTATGGATTAAATGAACAGGATGTTCCTGGTCTTTTTTTTTTTTTTTAATTTAAACAAAAGACAAAGGCTATTTATGTGGGGGACTCCTCAAAGGAGGGATTCTAGCAAAGCTACTGAAATAGAGTGAGCCAGAAACAACAAAGAACAATGTAGTGACAAGGAAGATCTGTCTAAACAAAATCAGTGTGCTCAGTGTTTGGCTTCTTATCTAAAATGAGCCCAAACAGTTTTCTCTGACACAGAAATTAAGAAAACTGAATTTTGTACACACAGCAGAGCAGGGAAACAGCAAGAACCCCAGAAATACCTCCTCAGTTTCCTCTTCTGAGTCCACCACAGGAAAGTCCTGCAAGGACTGCGTGGTCCTCTCGGAGCCATAAGCGCCCACAGCACCTTTGCCTTTCCTCTGCTTGGCCTCGATGGGATTGATGATTCCTGGCAGGATGGGAATGGGGTCAGCAGGAGCAGTTTGTGTGCTGGGAGAGAGCTGAACAGCCAGGCTTTCCCTGTGAGTTACAGCTCAGCACCAACACCCTCCCTGGCACTGCCTCCAGCGCTGTGGCATTTCCAAGATCACCAATTCCCTGTGAAATCACTTCATCCCAGCACACACCAAACTGCCAAAGCACAGCCTTGCTCCCAGCCACATTCCACTGCCTGTTTATTCTGCCACGTAACACAGCATCTCCTTTCCTCTGGGATGACCCTCTTTGGAATTTACTGCCTTTCTTCTTGCTCTTTTTCTCTTGTAAATGACCACAGGTCAGTTTGAACACCCCTGACTCTCACCACAGGACCTGGATCACTGGCAGGAAAACAAGAAGGAAGTTTAAACCACCTGGAGCTGGCAGTTCTTTAAGGAATCCAACCTCTCCCCCAAATTCCCAATTAATAATAATAAACCACCAAACACACTGACAGTACCTTGAGCATTCTTCCCCAGACCCCTTCCAGGGACATATCCCATCTTCTGGAGAAGCTTCTGCCCAATTCCTTTAGTGTGTCTCTCCCAGCTGCCAAAATCCACGAAGGACTTGGAGCCCCCTACGAAGCCTTTCTGGCTGGGTTTGAAATTTCCACCCTGTCAAAAACAAACATGCAAAAACCTGCAGCCCTGAGGCTCCAAATAACCAAGGTGTGCAAAATTCCCCTCAGAAGGTTCTTCCCACTCTGCCCAGCTCACTGGAACCTTGCTAGTGCTTCCTGTGGAGATTCCTGAAATTCCTCAGATGGGAAAGGAAAATCCTGAAAAAATTCTGGCTGACAACCTGACAGTTTTCAGGGTCCACCACCAGATTTAGGTGAAGCTGATTCCTGATTCTTTCTGGTTTTAATTGAAAAGAAGGGTTTGAATTTTAATCTATAACATAACGGATTTGTCTGTTCTGTGAAAGCAGAAAAACAAAGTCTCTGAAAGGCAGGAAACCACAGGAATTCTCTTCTTTAAACCTCCACTGACCAAAAGGAATATTGAGAAAAATGAAAGGACTGATTCCCAAGGACACACAGTTATTATATCAATGTACAGTTATACCAATGATTTATTATCCTGACTTTTGTTTTATCAATGTATTTGTATCAGTGATACAAAATCCAGAGCAAACACTTCCCTTACTGACACACTTGGGTCTCTGGTTTAATATTCCTCCCTTTTTTAGTGCCCTATTACAGTCTCATTGCCCTCAACCACAGCCAGAGTTTCATGAACATAAAACAGAGCACAGTAAATTTCCTGGAGAACTCACTGTTTTTAACTTCTTGGGCACAAACTCCTTGGGAATCTCCTCCTGCTTCACAGGCTTCTCATCATCATCTGAGTCCTCATCCGAGAGCTCCTCGGCGGCCGCCTTCCTCAGCCCAGCACTCACAAAGCTCACGGGGGCCGAGTAATCCCTGGAGCTGCAAAACCAGAGGGAATTCTGCTCATTCCTGGGGGCTGCTGTGCCTTACACCCCTCAAAAATGGGACAGTAAAGGCTGTCCAGCTGCTTAACCCTGCTTTTGCCAGGCAATCCTCATCCTCCCCCCTGTGCTGCAGGGAGTGAGCACAGGGAAAATCTCTGCAGGTGAGGGGGTCCCGAGGGCAGGGATGGGCTGCTCGGGGGGGTGTCTGTAGCCATGACATCTTATGAAAAATCCTTTGCTAGGATTTTTCTCCTATTCTAGCTGAGAAGCCCCAGAAAAGAAATGTAAACAATTAACTATCTGATGGCTGTGGAATGTGGTCTGGACATTGTTTACCAACAGGTGCATCTTGGATTAGTTCCTGTGAGTTGTTTCTACTTAATAATCAAAGATGCAGCTGCGTTGGACTCTGAGAGTCGTGAGCTTTTGTTATCATTCCTCTCCTCTTCTCTCCAGCCTTCTGATTGATCCTTTCTCTCTATGCTTTTAGTATAGTTTTTAGTATAGAATTTTAATATAATATAATATCATAATATAATAAATCAGCCTTCTGAAACATGGAGTCAAGATTCTCATCTCTTCCCACCTCCTGGCACCCTCAAACGCAACCACAGGTGTCCACAGCCGGGAAACACCCAGGGAACGGAGGGGAATAATATCCAGGGAACGGGGGGGATAATATCCAGAAAACGGGGGGGATAATATCCAGGGAACGGGGGGGATAATATCCAGGGAACGGGGGGGATAATATCCAGGGAACGGGGGGGATAATATCCAGGGAACGGGGGGGATAATATCCAGGGAACGGGGGGGATAATATCCAGGGAACGGGGGGGATAATATCCAGGGAACGGGGGGGATAATATCCAGGGAACGGGGGGGATAATATCCAGGGAACGGGGGGGATAATATCCAGGTAATATCATAATATAATAAATCAGCCTTCTGAAACATGGAGTCAAGATTCTCATCTCTTCCCACCTCCTGGCACCCTCAAACGCAACCACAGGTGTCCACAGCCGGGAAACACCCAGGGAACGGAGGGGAATAATATCCAGGGAACGGGGGGGATAATATCCAGAAAACGGGGGGGATAATATCCAGGGAACGGGGGGGATAATATCCAGGGAACGGGGGGGATAATATCCAGGGAAAGGGGGGGAATAATATCCAGGGAGCGGGGGAAATAATATCCAGGGAAAGGGGGAGCTCCGCAGCCGGGGCAGTTCCTGGGGTCCCTGAGCGGGCCGGGAGTCCCAGCCCGGCCGTACCGCTTCCCTCCGAAGCTGGGCCGCTCCTCGTCCGAGTCGCGCTCGGCCCACACGCCGTAGGTGGCCTCCTCCTTGGTCTGGCGGTGTCGCTGCCGGTGCGGGTTGAATTCGTTCTGCAGGTCCCAGTCCGACACCTCGAAGCTCTCCATCTCCACGCCATCGTCTCCGTCCGTGCCGTACAGGTGTGACATCGACATCCTGGCACCGCCGGGATGCCCCGGCCCGCTCAGGGACCCCAAGCCCCCTGAGGAACTCCTGACCCAGGACCCCGGGCCCGCTCACGGATCCCAGCACCGGTCGCGGCCGCGCCGCCACACCGGATGCGCCCCATTCACTTCCGCTTCCAGCAGCGCAAGCCCCGCCCCTAAACCATAGAGTCGCCAGGAGCGGCGCGGCCGCGCCGGTAGCGTCGCCCTGTGGCCCGGAGGGGTAGAGGGGACGGAGTCCGCGCGATGAATAATTAAAATATTAAATATCAAATCAACACTTTAATGGTGTCCGACACCGGGTGGGGGGGAGGCATATATTAACTCTGCAATAGCCTCTGCAGGGTTGGGGTAGGGGTAGAGGGGACACACGCACCACAAAGGCTCTGCAGGGCCAGGGGGCTGTTCCTGACCCTGGGCATTGGGAACAGCAGGACCAGGGTGGCTCTTCCCGATCCCAGGAATACGGAACAGCGGGCATGGGAGGGCTGTTCCCCACACCGGGAACGGGGAACAGGTCACGAGACACAAACGCGATGTACGGAGTCCTCCAGCCACGGCACAGGGAATCTCCTTCCGTCCCCCTCAGCCCGGCTTTCCACAGCTGCGTTCCCCACAGAGCGCCGGGCCGGGCCGGGGACGTTCCCGCCGTGGAGCACGTTTGGCCTTTGCAAATAAATGCAAATACATTCCTGGAGCGCAGTCATTTGGCAACAGTAGGAGCAAGCAATATGCTTGGAGAACAGATTTCCACGGGCCCACTGCACACTCGTCCTTCTCGGGCAACAACAGGCCGCTGGCAGCGTTCTGGAAGAGACGAAACACAGAGCCTCAGGGGCAGGATCCCCTCAGGGGCAGGATCCCCTAAGGAACAGGATCCCGTCAGGGGCAGGATCTCCTCGGGAGCAGGATCCCCTTGGGGAAAGATCTCCTCAGGGAAGAGGATCCCCTCAGGGGCAGGATCCCCTTAGGAGCAGGATCCCCTTGGGGAAAGATCTCCTCAGGGAAGAGGATCCCCTCAGGGGCAGGATTCCCTTAGGAACAGGATCCCCTTAGGAGCAGGATCCCTTTGGGGAAAGATCTCCTCAGGGAAGAGGATCCCCTCAGGGGCAGGATCCCCTCAGGGGCAGGATCCCTTCAGAAGCAGGATCCCCTCAGGAAGAGGATTCCCTCAGGGAAGGATCTCCTCAGGAACAGAATCCCCTCAGGGGAAGGATCCCCTCAGGAAGACAATCCCCGAAGGAACAGAATCCCTTCAGAAGCAGGATCCCCTCAGGGATAGGATCCCCTAAGGAGCTGGATCTCCTCACATGCAGGATCCCCTCAGGCTATCACAGCAATGCCCAACTGCAGATTTAAAGCCCCTACAACACAAAAATTGGCCAGAAAGGAACCAATTCTCAGCCCAGGACAAGGGGACATACAATTCCTGATCTTCCCTCAGTGCTTCTGATCTTTTTCTAGCCCAACCATCTGCTTGTACACAGAAAGTTGCTCTTAAAGGATCAGTTTTAGTACCAAGAATGGTATTTTATGCTTTAGCATGGACGAAGAACATCCAACACATCAACAGTTGTCTCTGGAGCAGCAGCCCAAGGCAGCAGCTTTGTTTTCCATCATGTTTTCCTTTGTTTTCTATCCCCTTCCTCAGGTCCATGGCACGTCTTTGGAGGCAGCTGGGGAGCAGCTCAGCTCATCCATGCATTCCATGTGTCCCTGCTGCCCACAGGGATGGGCTGCAATAACCCTCCCAGGCGGCTGAGTTTCATTTTGCAGCTTTAATCCTGTTCCCAGAGCTCAGGAAAAGAATTCCTTACACATGGTCCCACACAGCAGCATTGTGTGGGAAGATCTGAGGCGACTGCAAAGGATCCCTGGCACCAGGAGTGTGCCTGGAACCCCAGCTGAACCACAGAAATCACACAAACCAAGTGCTGGTCCTGGAGCAAAGCAGGATTTGCCTAAATCCCAAAATTAAGTAAACAGGGTCTTACCTGGAAATCATTAATTTTCTTAGTGAGAAGATGACGTGTTCTGAGTCACCTGGAGGAGCCCCAAAAGAGAAGGGTCAGCTCTGAGCCAGCATTCCTCAGGGAAGGCAGCAGGAACCAGGTACCCTGGCGTGTCCCAAACACCCAAACCCTCAGGGTACACCCAGCTCTTACCTGCAGGTGACCTTTGAGATTGGCCGGTGTTTTATAATCCCCCTTTAAAACCTGTGGGAAAGAGAACCTGGAGTGACCCCTGGGGCAGTGGAATCCCCTCTGGGTCACTGCTGTCAGCCATTCCCAGCCTTCCCAGGGAAAAGTGCTCTGTCCTGCTCTGGGCCCCTCTTTCCAAAACAGACATGGAGGGGCTGGAGCATGTCCAGAGAAGGGAACAGAGCCAGGGAAGGGGCTGGAGTACCAGGAGCAGCTGAGGGAGCTGGAAAGGGGCTCAGCCTGGAGAAAAGGAGGCTCAGGGGGGACCTTCTGGCTCTGCACAACTCCTGACAGGAGGGGACAGCCAGGGGAGGGTCAGGCTCTGCTCCCAGGGAACAGGGACAGGAGGAGAGGAAACTGCATCAAACTGTGCCAGGGGAGGGTCAGGGTGAACACCAGGAGGAATTTCCTCATGGAAAGGGTGGTCAGGGTTTGGAAGGGGCTCCCCAGGGAGGTTTGGAGTCCCCATCCCTGGAGGTGTCCAAGGAACGTGTTCCATGTGGCACTCAGTGCTCTGCTGGGGATGGGGCACAGGTTGGACTCAATGGTTCTGGGAGGCCTTTCCCAACATGAATGACTCTGGAATTCTGTGATTCTGTTTTCCCTGTGTGAGTCTGTTTCCCCCCTGCTCCATCCCGATCCAGCTCAGGAGCTTCCCTTGCTCCGGAGGGCTGGGTGAGCCCCTGGCCCGTCCCCTCCGTGGCAGTGCCACTCACTCTGTGCGTGTTGTTGACAACCAGGGGGTCGGGCTGGCCGTAGTTGGGGGGGTTGGCGTAGGGGTCGTAGCCGAGCCTGGCGAGCATGGGGGCGATGTGGGCCATGTCCTGCAGCACATCCCCCGGGATGTGCCCGATCCACTTGGACAACGCCTCCATGTTCACCGGCTTGATCACCTGGTCTGTTGACCTCTCTATCCTGGGGAAAACAAAGGAAAAAAACAAAACATAAAATGGTTGGATTTCACGCATGTGCTGGGCTCACACACAGCTTGCTGCCACCTCCACAGAGAACCACAGGACAAGGACTTAAATCCCATCCCATCCCATCCCATCCCATCCCACTCCCTGCCATGGGCACGGACACCTTCCACTATCCCAGGTTGCTCCAAATCCTGTCCCACCTGGTCTTGAGCACTTCCTTGGATGGGGTAGCCACAGTTTCTGTCCCTCACAGCCCTGCTCTGGGGAAGCAGACCCTGGCAGGGGGTTCCACAGCCCCAGAGGCTGGGTTCTCCTGATTAGAATCATGGAATCATTAAGGCTGGAAAAACCCTCTAAGATCAGTGAGTCCAGCCATTCCCCCAGCACTGCTAAGGCCACCAATGACCCATGTCCCCAGCTGCCACATCCGCACAGCTTTTAAATTTCTTCAGGGATGGTGACTCTACCACTGTTCTGTTCCAAAGCTTAACTACCCTTTCAGGGAAGGAATTTGCTGTTTTATCCAACCTAAATCTCCTCTGACACAACTTGAGGCTGCTTCCTCTTTTCCTATCTGGGATCTATCCTGCACAGGAGGGATTTCTCCTGCACTGGGACAGGGGGTTTCACCAGGACACCTCTGCTTATCAGAGGAAAACAATGTAAGACGTGTGGGCTGTAGCACAGATACACTAGGTGACCCCAATGAATATTCAAAACCTGATCTAAGCAACCTGGACCAATTTACTCTAAGCAAACAGGGAAGTAGAGCTGGCTGCTCTCCCAGGGTATCCTGGAAAACCGGAGCAGCTGCACATCCCCCCGTGGCTCCTGTGCCCTCACCACCAGGGCACCAGCAACTGAGACAGACTGGATAATTCCCTTACACAGCTGATTAAATTTTGCTAAGCCTGACTTAAGCCTCCATTTAGAAAAGAAACAGCATTAAAAGAGGAAAAGAAAGTGGGAGAAGACAAACACCCCCTACACACGGAGAGGGCAGGAGGGAGTGCTGGGTGTGCCTCCACTGAGCAGGTATTGCTTTTATTCTGCAATACCAACCCCAGACCTGGCAGCTGAACTGCAGTTCATCATCATTAACAGCACAACTAATCACACCAAGGAGGCATCTGAGGACGGGTGGAGAAAGAGGCATTAAAGAGCTCACGTTTCAGAGCAAGCAATTCTTTGCAAATTAGAGACTGAAATAATTTCTGCAGTGTCAAGAGAGATTAAACAGTCACCTGCTCCCGAAATCCTTGCTTGACAAGCTGTTCTGCGGAGTACAACAGATTGGGAGCATTAAAGCCATCTCTTACTCAGGAACACAAACCCCACTGCAGTACAATGTGCTGTCCCTCCTCCCCAAAACCACACACAAACACCAGCAAAGCGGCTCTGTCCCATTTTAGCCTGCTTTGTGCAGTGAAAAGCTGAGGAAAGAGCCGAGACTCACTTGGAAAGGGACACCCCACCAGGCTTCCCGATGAGCTCCTCGTGGTGCAGCACCGTGTCGCTCCAGGAGATGTCCAGGAACCTCATGATGTTGTGCATGGACTGCTCGGGGTGCAGCACCAGCTGCTCGTAGTAGACGGGCAGGCAGCGGGCGCGGCCGATCTCCAGGCACTGGGAATACATCACCTCGATGGCCTTGTTCCACTTGGTCAGGCAGTCCCGGTAGCTGTTCAGGTCGAAGCCGGCGATCGTCACCTTGCGCGTGATCATGGAGTGCACCGAGGCGCGCCCGTCCCGCACCATCAGCAGGAACTTGGAGTTGGGGAACAGCCGGGACAGGTACACCGAGGACTTGAGCGTGAAGGGGTCCTTGTTGCACAGGTACCTGGCGGGCTCGCCGTGCTTGGCGATCACCTCCAGGATGAAGGCCTGCATGGCCGCGTCCAGCACCTGGTCCGTCACCCCCGCCTCGTCCAGGCGCATCTTCTCGCGGCCGGACTTGGACCAGGCCTGGCGCATGGCCAGCACGCGGGGGATGATGCGGGTCTCCTCCCCGCAGCGCACCTCGGGGTGGGCGTCCAGCATGGCCCTCATCAGCGTGGTGCCGCTGCGCGGGACGCCGCCGATGAAGATCAGGGGCATGTCCTTGCTGTAGCGGTACTCCACGTGGTTGGCGTCCACCATCACCAGCTCCTCGTTCTCCGGCCTCATCAGCCTGTGCCTCCTCTCGCTCAGGACCTGCTGGCACTCCAGGACCTGCTGCCCGAGGTGCAGGGTCACCATCAGGGCCGCCACCGAGCCCACCAGCAGCAGCACCCTGCGCGTGGTGACCCGCATCCTGCTCTCCTGGGCACAGGCTGGGGGCTTCAGCTCTCTGCTAGCGAGTGTCCAACCCCACGGGCATCTGCAAGAGAACAGCACTGTCAGAGCAGCGATGGGATGCTGACACCATCCCAGATTTCATCACCTCCTTCACTTATCAGCACCTCCTTCATTTATCAGCACCTCCCAGGCTTGGTGCCCTACACCCAGCAGGTAATTAAAGTCTGCCTCAGTGCACACCCAAAGAGAGAATTTCTGCATTGTGCTCCCAGAAACACAGGTTTACAGCTAGAGCAAAGCTCCAGGAACGTTTTGGAGAGGAGGAGCACTGTATACTCAGGGACTCCTTAAAACAAAATCTTTACAGAGAGCCTGCTCCATCCCAGATGAAGCCCAGACCCAAGCTGAGGTTATGCCTCCCAAACCCAAGTCAGCGCTCCAGCACTGCTCACCTCCCAGCCACCTGCATCCTCCCTGCATTTTGTTTAGTTTAACCATGCGGTCACAGGGGAGGGGGAAGCTGAAATAAGAGAAAAACAAAAGCCTTTCATGCCAGCTTTAAGAGTCTGAGTCAGGAGAAACCGTTATAATGAAACACTGAGAGATTCAACCATCTGAGAGCAAACAGCCACACGCAGCGTTCACCACCCTGCCCTGCCTCGGGAACTGACCTGACGGAGAAATCCGTGAAACTTCATCTGGCACTGAGACTTTTCGGGGTTTTCCACGGCTCGGCAGGACATCCAGCAGGAAGGCTGCAGCCTCTGCAAGTGCCCAGCTCAGCTGCGTGCCCGGAGGGACTCCCGGGAATGCTGGCACTGCTTCCCGCCCCCTCCCCCAGTCCGCCCCAGTTGCAGGTTTTGCAATCCTCCCCTGGGCTCACCCCGGGATTTCCAGTTCTTTGTGATTATGTGGCTGGGGCAGGAGCTGAATGGAGTGGAAGGAACGGGCCGTCCATGGATTCTGTTTTGCTGACAGGCCAAAGAGCTGCTCCAGAAAATCCTTTCCCCCCCACAACGAAGGAATACATTGTGCAGCAGCCCATGCGAAGCAGGGAGCAGGCAGGAGAGAGCCTGGAGCTGGACAGCTTTCCTGCTCCTCCTGCCAGGCACTTAAGGACTCGCTCTGCTCCCCCTTCCAGTCCCTGACATCCCACTCCACCATCCTGGACTCCACCCACTGGCTTTTATCCACCCCTCTCTGCCAGCCCAGGGATGCCCTCCCACATCCCAGCAGCACAGCAACATCACCACTAAAAGTATTTTTGTGGCTCTTTACTCCCTGGTCCACCCTAACCAGCTGCTTGCTAACATACCTGAAGCTAAACAGCCTCAACTGCATCCCCAGGTATGAGATAAAGTGGGTGGATTTGTTGGGATGTAGATCAGAGGGACACCCAACAGCTCTGGCATTTTTGCAGCAACAAGCAGAGTCAGAGCCATTAACAAGACAAGTGCTGCTGCTTCCTGCTCTCTTCATCTGTTTCTGTCATGTAAATATATTCAAATATTCACCCCAAAATAATTGCAAATGCCACAAGGCCCATCTCAATGGGTGGCAGAGGAGCAGGCAGGATTTAAGGCCAACTGGAATAATTAGGGCAATGCAGACCAAGACAGGCTAATTAGCAGCAAAGGCTGCATCATGAAAGGAGGCTGGAGCACAGAAGTGCTCTGTTCTCCAGGAGAACCAGCTGACAGGGAGCAGTTCCCACCGAGATGCTCCAGCAGCTCTGGAGGGAACAAAGGGACTCTCATATTGTGTTGGATAGCTGTGCCAGGGGAGGTTCAGGTTGGACATCAGGGGGAATTTCCTCATGGAAAGAGAGGTCAGGCCTTGGGAGGGGCTGCCCAGGGAGGTGGTGGAGTCTCCATCCCTGAAGGTGTCCATGGAATGCCTGGATGTGGCACTCAGTGCTCTGAGCTGGTGACAAGGTGGGGACCAGGCACAGGTTGGACTCAGGCTGGATGGTCTGGGAGGGTTTTTCCAACCTGAATGATCCTGGGATTCTGGGAGTCCCTGGGGACTACCCTGCCTGTCCAGCAGGCAGGGACTGAGCCCTCACTGCTCCTACCCAACGCCACCAACATGGGAAGCTCTCACTCTTGTGTGGGGAGTGAGAAAGGCAGGTGCCCACAGGAGCATGGCCTCTCCCCACTGCTGAGCTCTGGATTCTGGCTCTGCCCCTGCACAGCAGCCCCTGGGCCTGGGAGGGCTGGAATGGGACAAACCTCTCCCGTTGGGATCTCCGTTGGGATCACCCTGGGATCACCCCAGTGTGCTGGGAGGGCTGAACAACACCCAGAGCGTGTCTGGCCGCGGGCCGGGACAACCACAAACGGCCCAGCTGGTTCTCAGCTCTTTTGTGCAATTCTCCACCGAGAATTTCCTAAAATTTATGGGCCTCATTAGTCTGTGAGGGAAGACGGATGGGTCATTTCCTCCCCAGCAGACACTGTGCTGGAATCAGGGTGTAATAAGGTGCAGGGCTGTCTGAGCAGAGACAGCCCTTCCAGAGACAACACCCTTTCAGATGCCCAAGCTGACTCTGAGAGCTTCCCATTCCAGCAGGAGTTAGGGAGCTCTCAGAGGCTACTCTGGCAGGGAATGGTGACATGGGAGCAGAAAGCAAAGTGTCAGCAGCAATCCAGGGCTTGAAGCCCCTGAGTGCAGCTCACACACAGCAGGACAGGGATGTGACACATGGCCAGGGGCTCCGATCATGGCCAGCATCAGGGGACTAAGGCTGGTTCCAAGGATAAAGCTGTGGAGCAGCCATGTTCTGGCAGTTTTGTGTTCCCCTTGGGATGCCTTTTGCAGCTGCAGTGTGCCTGGAGCTCTGGGCTTTGTGATTTTCAAAACCCTAACCCTAGGCGTAACCCTAACCCTAGGCAGTAAAAGCAGCCTTGTAAGACTGGTACCCAGAGCGTGGGCGAGGATGGGAACCAGTGGGGATGTGACAGCAGAGTGACAAGGTCCTACAGGCAGTAAGTCTTCCCTATTCCCATGCTGATGGGACTTGAGCATGAGCAAGGCTGACACTGTGTTGTGCCAGCTTGTGAAAGCAACACAGGATCAATGGGGCAGAAGTGGTGGTGTGGACAGACGTGCAACATCATCAGACAGATGTGCAGCAGCCACCCAGCATCCCAGGGCAGCCACACATCCAGCTGCTCTTACCTTTTCCCCGTACGGCCATTGTGCTGCTAGTTGAGCTTCATGGTGAACCTGTGGCCACCAAAACACCTGATGGGGAAGAGAAGCCACAGTGTTGATTTGTTTATTTAGCACACGCATCTGCTCTCCTCCTCAGCACCTTCCCCCTCCTCCCCACAGCCTCCTCTGAGCCCCAGGGAAAGGTGTTCCTGCTGGAGCTGGTGGCCCCAGCTGACGGTCAGCACCGGCAGCTGGACTTGACACACCTGCCCTGAGACACCAGCACTGTTCACAGGGCACAGCCAAGCCAAGACACACAGAGGGAAGCAGCAGGGCAGCTGCTCTTTCAGGAAATGCAGCCTCCTGGAAGGAAGAGGCCTCAGGGGGACCTGAGCAGCCTGGATGTTTAAAGCCCAGGGGATGACAATCCAGCTGGGCACAATTCCAGCAAACACCGACCAGCACAACAGTCTTGACCAGAGGAAGCAGCTCCAGACTCGCCTGCTGGAAATGCTGAAATCAGGCACATATCAGACAATGACCAGAGCCTCCAAATCAGTGACAGTGAAAGGAGACAGAGCCCAGAGGACCTGCAGGCCTGACAGGACCTCCTGGCTCCATCCCAAGGAACAAAGCTCTCTCCAGTCTCACCACCTGCCAAGGCAGCAGCACCAGCCCTGCACAGCATGGAAATCCCTCCAGGTTGGGAACCAAACCTTGGACACTGGGTTTCCCACAAGGACTGCTCCATGCCAGGGAGCCCAGCAGCCCAGCAGTCCTCCTGCAAGCACAGAGCATCCTGGGACAGTCTGTGACACGGAGCTGCAGCAGAGCACTCTGAGGGGCCAGGACCTGGCGGATCACCAGATGTCACTCTGCTCCCAGGATCACAGCATGGACATGGGACCATCATGGGGTCACTGCTGCTGGGACATTCCCAGTCAGCTCCCCCTGGCTGTCCAGCAAGTCCTAGCCTCGCAGGATGTTCTGAGAACATTTCCAGTAGTGACACTAATGGCTATTCCAGTCTCCTCTCCTGCCATCGAGTGTCACTGGTCCCTCCGCCTCAGCACTAAGGAGAAAACAGAGGGAAACTCCACCCAGCAGGAGCTCTACAAGGGCTTATCCACAGTGCAAGCGCTTCCCTGTGAGGCTTCCTGCTCAGCCTGGCCTCCATGGACTGCAGGATTCCAGCACCAGATCAAGCTGCAGCTCCACAAAGCAGCACCCACATCCCTGGATGTGCTTCTGCAGTGCCCCAAGCACTGAGGGGCAGGGACAGAGGTGGTTCAACAGCCCACCCGACTCACCCCGCTCCGGAAACAGCTCCAGCTCCTGCCCGGGCACAGATACACAGACAGACACATAGACACGCACTTGTTTGTGACTTCCTTCCTGAAGCTGTGCAGGGCGTCACCACCAGCTGGGCTCCAACAGCTCTGACCGAAACCCCGACCAAAACCCTTGGGTCAAACCCCTGACCTTGGCACCTGCGCTGGGAACGGGTAAAAACCACCCCCAGAACAGCCCTGAGCAGGCACAGCACCCTCAGCAGTGAGGAAACACCATTTGTTAAAGTGTTACAAACAACCACAGAAACAGTTTCTACAAGAAGCCCCATATCACCAAAAGCTGCATTTTTCTTTAAACCATTCCCAGAAATGAGTGTCATCAAGTGCAGCCTCCCCAAAACACGTAGGTGTGGCCTGGAAAATTTGAGCTCAATTTGTTGGTGCTTAATAAAGGGATGAGGATCTGCAGGCACCCTTGTGGCAGAACAGCAGCAGAAACTGTGGTCAGCAAGCAATGTCCCAACATATCCAACTCGCATCTTTACAAATCAGCAATATTTAATTACTGAATTGATAGTCTCCAGTTCATTTACAAAAATAAACACAGCTTGCCTGAGGGCCACTGCTTCATCCCAACCTGAGCTCAGTCCAATGCTGGCACTGCTGACGGCAGCTCTGCTCCTCCTGGATGCTCCTGCTGGCAACTTGTACAGCACATTTCCAAACACTTCCCAAGTATCTCTCTCAGCAGGACTGGAATGCAGCGAGCATGCAGTGTGGGGCATGGAGCATGGGGCCAGCCCCAATCTCCACCAGAAGCACACAGAGGCACCACGGGGGTGGCTGTGGTCACTGAGTGCAGCGTCAGCCCTGTTGCACAACCGCAGCTCGTGCTCCTCCACCCCAGCACTGCACAGACCGGGATTGATCCCACGGGACACTGGGAACAAGAGTCCAACCCACCCACCCCAGTGGTGGGACAGGAGCTCTGCACCCACCTCTGCTGCAGGTGTGCCATGGCCCTGAGCCTTGGAGAGAAGATATGAAAATTAAGCTGCAGCACTCAAAAAAAACCCACAACAAAAAAGAAGCTGCTGTCAGCCACCACGTGGCGAGAGTGGCACCACTGAGAGCAGGACGGGTTTGGTGACTAAAACTGAAGCTGCACTGCAGGTCATGAACCCAGGCATCCACTGGAACAGAGGCCAACTCCAGTGAAAACACAACCAATCCCAAGAAAAACACCTGGGATCTGGAGCACTTTGGAGTTCTGTGTCCCTTGGAAAATCCCCAAACAGCACTGTGGTTTACACTTGCACCGCCACCATCATCCCAGGGAAAAATAACAGTCAAAAGAGTTCAGAGATGAGTGTTCAAGCAGCCACCTCAGCACCCAAACCACACAGAGGCTGCTCCAGCTGCATCTTAGCACCCAACAGGCTCAGGGGGCAAAGGGGAATTTATTCTCACTGCTGAGTACCTAGAAAAATAAACCAGCAGAACCTGCTGCCCCAAGGATTAAGGCAGTGTGTGCCAGATTCAAACACTTTCTGGCTCAGAAGAGCCTGCAAGGTGAGAGCCCTGAGCCACACCAATCATTCCAGCCGAGCATCCCAAAGAGCCCAGCCAGGGATAGGGGCACTGTGTGCCAGCCAGCTCCAACAGGCTCTAAATCACATCAGCAGAGAATCCACAGACATTTCACAGCACAGACTGTTGGTTTATCGCCTCAAGGCTGTTATGATTAGCAAAACATTTTATTATCCTGCTCAGTGGTACAGTGTTCCTCAAACAATACAAATCCCACCAATTTACAGTAAGTCCCCTCCACCCATCCCTCATTCCAAGCACGGCGACGGCATTTTATCATCGGGAGATGGAAACCTCAGCATTCACCCTGCCAACCTTGCAGGGACACGGCCTTCAGCTCAGAGTGGCAGATTAATTATGGAATGCCCAAGGGGGAAGCTGCTGGCACGACACAGGGATGGAGGCACCTACCCACTCCCCAGCACCTGGCACCGTGTGCCCACACCGCAGCAAGGCTCAGGCACGTCAGACACGCTGGTGCTGAAATGGGACACGAGCTCTGCACTTCAGAGGGAGCTCCTGACTTTTAATTAACCCACAGAGCTTCACCCTTCCTTAATTACTCTGCAGTTGCTGCCTCAGGGGGACAAAGGCAAAGCCAGCACAGGTCCACTGATGGTGACACTCCCACGTTGGTTCCCCTTGTGCCCTGACCAGTGACTCCATTGTCCTGCTGGAGGAAGGAGCTCTGGGAAAGCACTGAGCTCTCCCCCAGCTCCTCTTGCCCAGGGAAGCTGTGGCTGCCCCATTTCTGAAGTGCCCAAGGCCAGGCTGGATGGAGCTCTGAGCAACCCAGTCTAGTGGAAGGCATCCCTGCCCATGGAAGGGGGGTGGAACTAGAAGACCTTTAAGATCCCTTCCAACCCAAACCATTCCATGATTCTGTGATGATTCTATTCCTCTCCACAACTCTGATCAAGTCCCTCCAACTCTCAGCCCTCATCCAGGGTATGTCCTGGTGATCCCCATGGGAGAGGGGCACTGGGTGAGGGGAACCGAGGTTTGCAACCCCCCTGTTCACTCACCACGTTTGATGCAAACACAGCTCTTCCCTCACAAAACTGCACAAATATTCCCTTGCAGGAATGTGGGTGGTCAGAGCCTGCCATACAACAGGGAGGAAGAGAAGTCAGAGGAACTGCTAGAAAAAACACCAAGTATCTTCAAAAAATATTTTCCCAGTCCACACGCCAAACCCTAAGTCTCAACAAGCTCCATTCTTGCATGCACAAAGATCAGGATCTGCAAATAAAAAATTGTTTCTGCAAGACAAACCCCAAAACCTCAAATTTGCTTAAGAAACAAAATCAAAGTGTTTTATTTCCCCATGCAGCATCAGCAGCAGCCCTGGAAGCACTGCCTGAGGGCAGGGCAGGGCAGGGCAGGGCAGCAAGGATGGAGGTGCCACTGCTCACCCTGCAGGCAGGGAGGGGGGAGGGAACACTGCTCCCCATCTTCCCCAGCTCCTCTGCTCGTTCTTGTCCTGTTTCTTGCAGCTCCCTCAGGAGCACAGTCCCGAACACAGACCAGCCCCAGGATCTCCAGCAGTGCCCAGCCATGCTCAGCACAATGGATACCATAAAGACAAGCATGTGGCGTCTCCACAAAGCCAGAAACTTTGGGAAGCACCAGCACCCACTTCAGCAATGTGTGTTTGTGGCCTCCCACTCCCAGCCCCAGCGAGGACGGGCAGTGACCACCCCCAAGCCCTGGCACGGGTGAAGCCCTTGTGAAACCACCGGTGGAAGAAACGGAACTGGGTCCTTCCGAGCCTGCGCTGCCGCTGCCTCATCAGCCAAAGCAGCCTGCACAGCACATCCGAGCGCCTTCCTGTCTGCAGAGCCCAGCTGGAGCCCTGCTCCTCCTCTGCTGCCACTTGCATCTGCAAACGCTGAGCCACCAAGGCCTGTGCCCGTGCCCTGAGTGCCACCCAGCCACGCTGGCTCACGGCCAGCTGAGCACAGCTGCCCGAGGGGGGATGGCTGCTTTCCCACCCTCCTTGCAGCTCAGCCACTGCTGGCAACAGCTGCTCGCACCACAGGATCCCTCCCAGCACCGAGCAGGAGCAGGAGTGCTGGAAAAGCTTCCCCTGCCCCAGCCTGCAGCTTCAGAGCCAACATGCCCGTGGTCATTCCTCCGTGGAGAAGCACCTGCATGCTTCAGCCCCTTCAGAGCCCCCAGTCTCGTCTGGGGTCACTGCCTGGGAATGCACGGTGGGAAGCAGCCGCTTGCTTCACTTCCGAGTGCTGTGTGTTGAGCAACCCCCGCTGCTTCTCTTGTTTGATGTCCCTGCGAGGGGACAAGGGGCTCCTGTGGCAGCCTTGGCCACCCTCCTGCCTGCACCCACACCGTGAGGCACCACAGCACGGACTGGGGACCAAAAGGGGGCAAAAAGGCATTATTCACCTTGAGAGAGGAAATCTTTGAGAGAATTCCTGCAGGAATTCTGGAGGCAGACAGGGCACTAAAGGCTTGGAAAACAGAGTGAACCAAAGCAGGCAGCCAGCACCAAGGCAAGCTTCTCCCGGGTTCTGTGTGCCCACTGCCTGTGGAATCTGGAGGGAAACGTGCTCGGCCAAGGCATGAGGCTGAGGTTCCTCAAGGCATCACAAATTCATCACAAGGCACATCTGCACAGTGCCAAATAAAACCACCTGCTGGGGGTTTGTTTTCTCTCTCCAAAAATCTTCTTGACAGTCCCCGCATTTTAATAGCGCTCCTGCCATCCCACACATCCCCAAAGGCTCAGCGTACCCGTAATGCCAACTGCCTTTGGAAAAATCTCCTTAAAATAGCGACAGAAATTACTAATACACTTTGTAAAACCTCCAGGCAGAGTACAGCGATGGCATGAGCCTGCCCATGCTGGTGAGCCCACCAGTGTTCTACAGAAACCCCAGGCCTCAGCCTGCCACATCCCCCCACAGTGAAGCCCCCCAGTACCAGATGCTGGGGAGGACTCACACAGTGCCCAGTTCAGCTGCTGTCCCCCAAATTCCAGTCTGCCCCCCTCGTGTGACTCCACAGACCCTGGGCTCCCCTCGGGCTCTGCAGCACAGTTGCTCCTGTGGCACCACATGCAGCAGCCTCGGGGCACCAGCTGCCACTGCACGCGATGGCACACCCCGCTCGCAGGCGCCCGCGTTGGCACTTGACAGCTCCCCACGAGCACCCCGCAGCATCCCCACAAAACACACGGCAAATCTGGAAACCTGTTGGCACCAATCATTCGGATCTCCCCACTCACCGTTGCTCGGTGCCTGAGCAGGAGGGAGCAGCAGAGCTGTGCCCAGGGGGGACTCCCCTCCCGAAACTGAGTCCAAGCAGCCGGCGGGGCCTGGCAGAGGGAGGTGTCTGAAGGGGTTTCAAACTGTGAGATGACTTTTGGACAGAGCCTGAGCATGCAAACAAACACAGAGGGGGACAGAGCAAAGGCCTCTGTGATGCAAACCATCCCCTGCCAGCCGAGGAGGGCAGCCCAGCTCATGCTGCTGACTCCAGTGCCAGCACCTCCAGCCACGAGTCCTAAGGAACTCGAGCTGGACAAAGTGTGGGTGTCACATCCCTGCCACACAGGGCACAGTAACAGATGGGCACTGCCAGGAGAGTGCCAGTGCTTTGCGTGGGCTGCAAGGTGCCAACACAGCTGCTCAGGAGCCCATTTGCACCCCCTGCCAAGGGACCCACATCCCACAGCCACCCTGACCTCGGTGCTGCCGACACCTCTCAAATCTCAGCAGGGGCTGATGCTGCCCGAGACTCACAGGTGCAGCCTCTCACTGGGCACCCACCCTGCCCAGGCCACCAGGCTCATCCTGGTATAGGAGGGCAGTTACAGCTCTGGCTGAGCTCTGGACACCTGGACAGATGGACAGCCCCAATCCATGGGTGCCACTGTGTACAGCAGTGCTCAGGTTACGGGGGCACAGCTTGGTGCTGGTCTGCCAGAGGGGTGCCACGGGAGTGGGGAGAGGGGATCGTGAGCCAAAGAGCAGAATGAGAGGATAAAGGTACGAGGAGAACCCTGCACTGAGCACCTTGTCCCACCTGCCGTGCATCCTGCACTGTGTTCTGTGCACTGAGCATCCTGTGGGCACCTCAGCACACCCTGCACTGAACTAAGCACTGAGCATCCTGCGCTGAGCACCCTGCACCGAGCATCCTGTCCTGGGCACCCAGCGCTACTCCGAGCACCCTGCATCGCGCATCCTGTCCTGGGCACCCAGCGCTACTCCGAGCACTCTGCACCGAGCACCGAGGACTGCTCTGTGTCCGCAGCACCGCACACCCAGCACCGCTCTGTGTCCGCAGCACCGTTCCGATCACGCATCACCTCCCGGTGTTCCCAGCACCGCGCACCGCGCACCCCCCGCACTGCGCACCGAGCATCCCCTGCCGCTTCACTCCTCGTTCGCTTCGCCCGCGCCACCCACCGAGCCCCGAGCCGGTACCAGGCACCGCCCGCCGGTACCAGGCAGCGCCCGCCGCGCAGCCCGGCCGCTGTCACCTGCCAGCCGGCGCGGCTGGGGTGACAAACGGCAGGGGCACACGCGGTACCCGCAGGGGCCGGGCCGGGTCGCTCCCCCCGCCGCCCCCGGTGCCCCCCGCACTCACCGGGGCCGCCGCCGGCCCGGAGCGGCGCGAGACGCGGCGACGTCACGCGCACGCGGGGCCGGGATCCCCGCCCGCCGCTCCGCGCGTGCGCCCCGCGCGCCGGGCACCGGGCGGCACCGCGGGACCGAGCCCGGGACCGAGCCCGAACCCGCGTCCCTGCCTGTCCCCGTGCCGGTGCTGTTGCCCGTGCCGCTACCGGCCGTGGCCCCGCAGCCGTCCCCGCGGGCTGCCGGGAGCGCTCCGCACCGCGCTGCCGCGGCCTCACCGTTATCCCCGGTCCCCGCCCCGGTGCCCGTGCTGCCTGTGTGCAGCGCCCTGCCGTCACTGCTATCGCTGTAATTAATCACCGCCGTCGCTAATTAGCGGCGTGGGAGCGCAGGGGAATGCCACCCCAGGTGTCCCACCGGGAGGCAACAGGATGGAAAGGGGAATGAGGCCGCAAAGAGTGCCCGGTGGGGAGGGACAGCATCCGAGGGGGAAAAAAACCTCCTTGAAAGTGAATCGGTCTTTGATTGACTGCAATTTCGGCTGTTAATTAGTGCCCAGGTGGATCCTGCGGGCACGGACCCAGGACCCCTCGCAGCCCCCTGATCCCGCAGGAGTGGACGGAGCCAGGAGCTCTCCCTGACTCCGTGGACGGAACCGGGAGCCCGCCCTGATTCAGCAACTCCCGGGGCACCCCGAGTCCCCCAGCTGAGAGGGTCCCCACCGGCGCTGGTGGGGTCGGGCTCAGAGCCTTTGCCAACCCCTTCCCCTACCCCAAGGGTCTCCTGTGTCCCAGCCCCAGCGCGGGGAGTTCCTGCATGAGACCAATTCCCCGGCAAAACCCCCCTCCCCCGTGTCCCACCCGGCTCCAGCGCAAGGCTGGCACATCCCGGGCGAGCCGAGCCGCGTTCATGCACCACCGACCCCCGAGCAGTTCTAATCTTCTGGTTTTTTTTTAATTTGCCTCACAAGGTAGAGTACATCCAGGGAATGTGCAATGTACAAGGAAAGTGCTGGGCAGGCGAGCGCGAGGGGAGGCGGGGGTGCCCCACGGGGCCCGGGACTCGTAGCTAGCAGGCAGCACGCTCAGTCGGAGGGCGCGTCGGGGGTGACAAAGGTGCCCTTCTGGTCCCACTGCATGTCCCGGATGCGGCGGATGGACTGGATCTGGGGCTGGAAGGCAGACCACTCATTCCAGTGTCGGAAGTCTCCGGTCTCAAAGAGGTACTGGTAGCCTCTGTAGCCAGGGTACTGGTACCCGACCCAGCTGTGGGAAAAGCAAACACAGAGGCACCTGAGCGGGGTTGGCCGCTCCAGGCAGCAGCCACATGGCTAGTGGGTGCTTAGGGGGCCGGTGGGGCCTCCCTGTGCTGGCCCCCAACCTCTGGGGGACAGGCCACACCACCAGAAACAGCCACACCACCCAAAACTGCCACCAAAATTGCCATGCCACCAGAAACAGCCATGCCACCAAAACCAGCCATGCCACCAAAACCAGCCGTGCAGCACTTTCTGGCTGCCTGAGAGCCTGCAGCAGCCATTTGGGGAGGACAGGGAGCCTGGCACGAGGCAGCCACCACTGCAGCCCAGCTTACGTTCCACTGGGCACCTGCACGCTGCCCACACGGTCGCAGAAGCCATAAGCCCAGAGGCTGGGCACATCGTCCTCCTGGATTTCCATCTTGTTGCCCTTGAAGTCAGCAGACTCGTAGAGGGAGATTTTGTGGTCCTCAGCCTCCTGGGGAAGACAGAGGGAGGGTGCTGGGCATTATGGCCAAAGCCCTGGAGCTTTGCTGCAGTGAGCCATCGAGCACAGAGCCCTGGGCACTGGGCTCTCTGCTCCCGAGCACTCACCATTTTGATGGGACGCATGGACATGAAGCAGTCGCTCCGGTAGCTGCTGGACCAGGTGTCCCAGCGAGGGTACTCGCCCTTCTCCAGGATGAACATCTCCCCACGCATGTTGGCCTGCTCGTACGCCACCCAGCTGGGGAGAGAGGTGGGCAAAGAGTGGGTCAGGTGCCACGCAGCACTTCCCCTCCTGCTCAGTCAGCTTGCAGGACAGTGGAGAGGTCTCCAAAAAGGCTGTGGCCCCACCACCCTGCTGCCGTCTTTCTCCCGGCCCAGTCACTGTGGCCTTTGCAGAGCCAGCACTGATCCATGGGCTCCCAGCGGGAAGCTCACTGGTGTGTGAGTGTCCAAACCTGCAGCAGGCACCAGCACTCACAGTGCTCCTCTTCCTCAGCTGGGGAGCAGCAGGACTCCTGCACAGCTGGTGACACTGCAGAGTCAGTTCAGGACTCTGTTGTCCCTCCTGCCTGGGCTGTGTAGTCCTGGCATGCCCGCACGCCTCACTGCTCCAGCGCCAGCCAGCACTGGCACCTATCCCACTGCCAGGAGTGGGGCTCACTCAGCTGCAATGTCACCTCTTCAGCAGAGCCACGAGGTGCTGGGAATGTCATGGGTGTGGGGCTCCAGAAGCCCCTGGCACCACAACAGCCCTGCATTTGCTGCTTCCCCTTTCCCTGCAGAACAGCTCTTCCTGCAGATGCCAGCAGGGGTTTTCCCGCTGGCAGGAGATGTGTTCAGGTACCCCAGGCTGCACAGCCTCAAGCTGGTTGCTAAAGCTCAGCTTGGTTGTTTTGCTTTCATCTTCCTCTAGGCACATTTTTGGGTGCAGAGTTCCATCAGCGACTCTCAAGAAGCTTCTAAGGACCACAATGACACCCAAGTTCTCTCCTCCCAGTTTCACCCTTTCTATGTCTAGTGCAGCTTCCCAGGTATCATATCTGAGCTCCTTCCAGGCTGCTCCATCCCCCACTTGTTTCAAGAGGAGTTGGGTATTCTGGGCTCCTAATAAAAAAGTCTCAGGTGCTGCGTGGTGTCATTCCAGGTCACCCTCCTGGTTCCTCAGCAATGCTGTCAGGACAAGCCATGTTCTTTGCATCCTCCCCACAGCTCTATCAGCCCCCCTGCATTCCTGGGCATGCTGTTTCCAGCCGAGCACAGCATGGTGGGATGCTCAGAGATCATCTGTCTGCTCAGTTATCTGCTTTGGGGATCGTTTTTGTCCCTGCCTGTGTCAACTGTTCCCACGGCTTTGAGACCTGCCCAGCCCCCTTGTTGCTGCTCAGCTGCCTGGGTGCAGGCGGGTGCTTGTCCCTGCCTGTCCCTGCCTGCTCCAGCCTGGTCCAAGGATCCCACCTCATTTCACCTTGGCTTCTCTAAAATCTGCAGGTCCCTTGTATTCCATGCACAGCTCCAGGTGCCTGAAATGATGGACACGTTTCCTCAGCCCTTGGCTTTGCCTCTGGTGCCCTTTGCTTTGCATGTGGCCCTGGCATCCTTCCCACCCATCCTGGCCCTCCTGTCCTCCTTGAAGGAGATCCGGGATGCCCACTCTGCTCCTGTGTTGGCCCTGCTGTCCCTGAACATCACACTGTGCCCAGGGTGCCCCCAGAGCTGTGTCCCCACCCAGCAGGAACATCCTCAGGGTCACAGCCCCCTCCGCGGCTGGGGTCACTTACGGTCCGGAGGTGACAATGACACTGCGCACCCGGTCGAAGCCGCGGTCAGCCAGGTTCAGGCACTCGGCGGTGAACTCCATCTGCCTGCCCTGGAAGTTCTCCTGGTCGAAGACAACAATCTGGGGGTGTAAGGAAAGGGTTGGATGAGAACAGGCATGCTCAGGGAGGGCAGGCTGGTGCTGGGTGACACAGCATGCCTGAGCCCACTGCTCCACGTGTCCCCCTCGGCTCTCCAAGCCTTCCTGCAGCTTCTCGGACCTGGTGCCCGCCTGTGCTGAGCTGGGCTCTGTGCATGGGCAAGCCCAGCACAGGCTGAGCACAGGAAGGCTCCCCCCAACAGCTGTTCCTGCTCCAAGATGGCCTCATCCTGCACCTGGTTTTGCTGCTGCTGGTGCCCACAGTGGTGGGAAGGAGCTGTTTCTCCAGGTGCTCTGTCTGCACCGTGGCCTTCTCAGCCTGGCACAGTGTCACCAGAGCCCTCTTATCCCTCACCCCCCATGCCAGCCCTGCTGCAGTGCCTCTGTGGCATGCTGGTATCACTGTGGCATTTCAGTGCTGGCCCTGTCACCCCTAGTGTCCCCTCCACTTCCCCACAGGACCCCTGCATGCAGAGGGTGACCAGAGGGAGCAGGTGACAGCAGTCAGCTCTGACACCACAACCCAGGGGAGAACACTTCCAAAGCCTGTGGTCCCCAACAAGCTGTCCTGGCCAAGGCACCTTCAGGCACTCTTCCTCCTGCAGCAGCTGCCCAAATCCTGTGCCTGCTGTCAGAGCGACAGAGCAGGGATGGCATCACCCACACTTCCACAGTTCTTCCCCCTGGAACAATCTCCTCCTGCCCTTGTCCCTCAGCCCGGAGCGTGTCCCTGCACATGGGGAGCCACAGGGCTTACCCTGAAGGCTTCTGGGGAGGGCTCCTCGCCCTTGCTGTTTGCGACAGGAGCAGGGTCGAGGGATGGAGTTGGAGCAGGAGCTGCCTTCTCCTTGTCATCCGCAGCCTGGCCGGGAGCAGCGGGTTTTGTGGTCTCAGACATCGCGGTGGTGGGCTCAAGTCTGTGACAGGGCACCAGCAGCAGGTTAGAGGGAGAAATGGATGTAGGCACCCAAAACATACCCCAGGAACAGTGACATCTGGATGGGGACTCTCAATGGGGTGGGTGGGCAGGGCCAGGGGAGGAGCTGCTGGAAGGTTCTCCAGTAGGCACAGGCAGGGGTCCTGTCTTCAATAGGGGGATCACAGGAGGTTCTGGAGTCCATACTCTCCTTCTGTGGTCAGAAGAGCCCTGAGCGTGGTCCTAGCCCTTTAGGAGTGCCCAGGGATGGGGCTCGATGCTGTGCCAGGCACCGGGGCCATCCCGCATGGGGTGCACCTGGGAGCCTGGGGGGCACCAGGCAGCATGTGAGGGGTGGGAAGGGGACAGCCCTGGTCTGCTGAGGCCCTGCAGCTGGCACCCTGCTGTGACCCCGCAGGTGAGTGTCAGCAGCAGCTCCCCGGGGAGTGGAGGGCGGTGGGATGCTGAGCACAGAGGTGCTCCCAGACGTGACCACCACAGCAGTGGCCACGGCTTAGACC